TGATTTTCACATGACATGATACTCTTCATACAAGACCACAAAACCTCCAGTAAAACTGCTAGATTTAATTAGCAAATTCAGTAGCATAGCTGGATACAATATCAACACTCAAAAGTCATTAGTCTTCCTATACATAAATAACAAACTCACTGAGAGAGATTTTAGGGAACCCACGCTCTTCACAATAGTATCCAAAAATTGAAATACCTAGGAATCAATCTAACAAAGGATGTAAAAGACCTCTACATTGAAAATTACAATACTCTGAAAAAGGAAATTGAAGAGGATACCAAAAAATGGAAAGATATAGCTTGCATTTGGGTAGGAAGCAGTAATATAGTGAAAATACTTCCAAAACTGTTACACAGATTTAATGAAATTCCAATCAGTATTCCAACAACATATCTCACGGAATTAGAAAACACAATTCTAAAATTTGAAACAGAAGAGACCTAAAATAGCAAATGCAATTCTGGACACCAAAGGAAAGGCAGGGGACATCACAATCCCTGACTTGAAATTATACAATGAAGCCATGGTGATAAAAACAGGAAGACACTGGCAAAAAACAGACCGAAACATCAATAGAACAGATTAGAAAATGCACAATTCCAGACATACTGTCCTCTTATCTTTGACAAAGGTGCCAAACACATTCACTGGAAGAAAGATAGACTACTTCATAAATGGTGCTGGAAAAACATGCTTTGCAAATGCTGAAGATGAACACAACCCTTATCTTTCAGCATGTACTAAAATAAATTTGAAATGGATCAAAGATCTAAATATTAAAGAAGAAATATTAAATATGCTGGAAGCTAGAATTGATGAAATTCTTGAAGACATTGCTGTAAGCAGACTTTATGAATAAACCCCTGAATGCACAGGAATTATCAAAAAAAAATCAACAACTGGGATCTAACCTTATTGAAAAGCTTTTTCACAGCAAGAGAAACCACCAACACAGTGAAAAGACAACCACAATATGGGAAAACCTGTTTGCCACTTGTTCCTCAAAGGATTACTATTGAGAACATACAAAGAACTCAAGAAAATCAGACCTCCTACACTTAAAGACCTAATTCTATTTTCTTTTTTGTTACCAGGAATCAAACTCAGGACCTTGCGCTTGCCAGGCAGGCGTTTGTGCCACTGAGCCATATCCCCGGGTGTACGACCTAATTCTAAAATGGTTTAACTTGGGAGGAAGTAGGAGTTTTGGAAGAAATTCTCTGGCCTTTTCTTCTCAAGTTCTAATTGTGTTTATTTGTTGGTTGGATTTTGTGTGTGTGCTGAGTTTCTTGGGGTGCAGTCACTTTTATGTATTCCTAGTAATATCATACAAATTAGCTGGTGTAGTGTCATTCAAGGCAAAATGGATATTAAGATACCCTAGAAACTTTTATATACCACCTTTAACCATACAGAAAAACCCACAATTACTGTGTAAACATCATGACAACCCATGTACTGGCACACAGCTAATATGCATGAAATGTGACAGCTATATCTCCACGAATGGTACAAAAGAACTCAACGATAATTCTATAGAGTGAACTATGTAAAAACCAGCAAATCTTTGTGGGTATAAAAGATATAGGGGATTAGGAACAGGGAATCCAAGAAGGAAGATGTGAAACCTTAAATGAGGTAATATGAGGAAGGGAGAAAGAAGTAGGGGAAAGGTTTCTAAAGGCAATGTGTGTACAATGAGTAAAATGTATCAGGAAAAACTACAGAAATGTAGGATAAAAAGGGATTAAAAAAGAAACACAAAGACAAAAAAAAATTCAAAGGACAAAAATTAAAAGGAAGAAGAGTAAAAAACAAAAAACATGTAAGAAAATACATTGAAAAAGGACGAAAAGTTTTGGAAAACACATAAACTCATGAAAAAAAAACATGCCCAATTGTAAAAAAAAAAAAAAATGGAAAAAAGGGAAGAAATACTTGTGATTTTAATATGTTGATTCTTTCCATGATCTACATTGTGGGGTGAGTCCAACTCCAACATGCCCCTGCTCATGCTGGTAGGTACAGAACACAGAGCCCACATCTGTGCCTGATGCTGGCACCAGCAGACACTAGGGCAAGCACACCACTGCCAGGACTTTCACATCCAGAGTAAGTCAGGCTGCACCTGCGATATGGCCGTGGGAGTGCGGGCTCGCTCCCTCAGCTCAGATACCCCTTGAGCCTCTCACCAGCTGCTGTCTGACCGCAGCTGTGTCCAGTGGTCATCTCTCACCAAGTTCCTTTGGGAAGGTAAAAAACAGAAAGGAGCCCTGTTTGAGGTGTCCTTATTTTTCTAGGATCTTGATGTGCATGATTAGTTTGTTTATGTGGACACCCTCTGTATTTCTGATGTGGGTATTTACAACCTGTGGCTACTCCGGGTCCTGGATTCAAACAGTCAACCCTGCCATGGATGGTATGTGACCAACTAGCACCTCCAGGGCTGTGGAGGGCACTTGTACTGGAGTCGCTCACTAGCCACTGCTGTAGAAAGGCTCACCAGCAGCACTCGCACGCTCTCCCTGAAGGTCACGGATCCACATCTTTTTCTGCTTCTCCAAGATGTTGCTTCCCAGAGCTTGGTATCTCAATCTCAGAGATGTTGATTTGAGCTGCTTCCCCTCTCCACCATTTCCCCACCTATGTTAATATTGTGGTCTTAGGAGCATTCCTGTTGCTATAAATGACACCAATTTATTCTTCCTTACGGCAGGGAAGTACTCCACTATGGATAATTGTATTTTCTTTACCATTGATCTGTCTGGGCTTCCTTTTCTACATGTAACCCTTTCATTTCTTTCTCTTTCTTCATTGCTCTGGCTAAAGTTTTGGGGCACACATTAAAAAGTTCTAATAGTGAACATTCTTTTCTTAATTTTTAGAAAAATCTTTCAATATTTACACATTTAATGTAATATTCCCAGGAAGTTTTTGCTAAGTTACTTTTACTAGATTGAGGTAAGGTCCTTCTAGATCTCTTTTCCTCATCAATGTTTTATTTTGTAAAAGGCTATTTCTCCATCTATTGAGATGACTCTGATGTTTCATTAGTCTCAATTTTATCAATATCAGAGTTCATCTTCACACTTTCCTTTTATGTACTAGCTTTGTGTTTCTGGCATCCTTGTTTTTCTAAGATTCCGATGTGCGTGATTAGGTTATTTATGTGGACACCCTGTTTTTGTGATGTGGACATTTACAACCATAAACTGCTTACCCAGCCTGATGGATCTATGCCATTCCTCTTCAGCATTGTTGATTTCAGTGGCTCTCAGATGCGTACAATTATTAATTATACACAGCACATTCAAACTTCATGTCTGTGACATGGGAGGACATGTGCCCATCACCATGGGTGAAATAACCACTATGAGCTTTGTGGCTTTGCTGAAGACCGGCGTTCTGTGTGCTTAAATTTTCTCCGTAAGACTGAAGAAAAAATTGGAAGAATAGGGTCCATGATGAAATGCAGTACTAACAATAATGTAACCATGCAAGCAGTGAATCAATCATGACAAAATGGAAGAAATAAACACGGACTATTATTGTTGCTTAGTAAAACACAGGTGTTTTGTTTTGCTTTGTTTCTCAGACAGGGTCTTACTCTATACTCAGCCTGGCCTTGAATTATGCCACACAGGCTGCTGTACAAGTCCTGCTGATCCTCCTGCCTCAGCCTCCCATGAGCTAGGAATACAGGCATCTGCCACAATGTCTGGCACATACAAAGAGGTTTACCTAACACTAATGTGCTGAGATTCATATGAAACTTTTCATAATCTATTTCAGCACACATTCCATGGAGTTGCACAGGTTGACTTCAGCCATGCAATTCACCTGTGCTTGAGTGATGGGATTACAGACAGAAAACAATGGTACCAGCAAGATTTTTGATGCTAAAATGGTAGCAAATACATATGCTTAGGATGAAATGCTCTCTATTTCCACTTTTACTCTGTGCATAATAATAGCATTATGCACTATGCAATGTCCTGATGATTAGAAATAATAAATGAGCTGCAGTATAATTATCCACACATTCAAGCACATAAATTCCAATACTATTCTGCAACATAGTATAGCTCACAAAGCACATGAGGCATTTAATATTTCATTATAAAATTGATATACATTTTTTTCAAAGTGTGGTGAATGCATGTAATACCCACACTTGGGAGGCTGAGGATAGACATGAATTCGAGGCCAGCCTGGGCTACATGGTGAAACACTATCTCAACAAAGCAAAGTAAGTAAATAAGACAAAGTTTGTATACTAATGCCCACCTGCTGGCCAATTTAATTGTCTAAGCATAATTAGGTTAGGATGAGATAATGCAACCACATGGTAAATTGAGCAGCTACTGAATTTAAGGATAAAACAACAGGTTATTTTACAATGCACTTCAGTACTAGGAAATAAGAAGGCAAAATAATTCAATGCAAAATAAGCCAGATGTCTCACACTGATAACATGCATGAATCTTATGCAGTGAAGTGACATCTCTTCCTTTAATCATTAGGCAGTGGTACTTATTGATGACAAAAACTATTATACAGCCAGACGTGGTGGTGCACGCCTGTAATCCCAGCACTTGGGAAGCTGAGGCAGGAGGATCGTTGCTAGTTCAAGACCAGCCTGGCCTACAAAGTGAGCTCAAGGCCAGCTTGAACTGCATAGTGAGACCCTGTCTCCAGAAAACCACTATACATTGTTCTCTAAAGTTAATAGAACATAGTTGAGTCATAAAAATGACTCAATTTCTATTTAATAACTGTTATGAGTTGCCCAGGTTAAGAAAACACCATTTCCCAAAGTACAAATGGTATTCACAGCATGAAAAACATAGAGGTTAATTATTGTACTGCACTGTATCTTCTTTGAGAAAATATATGGTTCTGATGAACTTCGGCAATGAGAGACACAAAAATACAGATTTTTTGGATGCTGGATTAAATAATGACCTCCAAAATAAATCATGGCAATATGAGCATGAAAAGTACAATTTAATGACAAAAAACACCTAATATTGTACACGTGATATTTATACCTCTGACGCAGAGAAAAGATAGGCAAAATTATGCCCACCATATAATCTGTAATTATGTTGGGACATGTATAGATATCTTCTTAGAATATTAAAAACATTTTTGCTATTTTACTTGTTTGAAAACAGATGAAAACTTAAGCACAGGTACAGAAGTAACTAGTATTAAAACTATAAAATATGACATTAAATTAAAAAATTTTGGTTGCTAGAATGGATTCAGTGCAGTAAGAGTTTAAACAGAAGCTAGTGGAAAATGACAACAGTTAAGGAAAATTTAATTTTGGAGTCATGTTACAGTACAATTACTAAAAGCAAAAGAAAACTAATAAAAATAACCTACAAAATAATGAACCCACTGGAATGTGAGAAATACAAGTCACTTCACCTGTGGGCCTTACATAGTGCAAAACAAAGAAAATTACAATGTAACCTAAGAGAAAATATTAAACTCCTGTGCTGTTGCTTACAAAGAGGTAGAGAATTACACAAGCACAGTATTTATTTGCGTTTTTTTTAAGACAGATTTTCACTATGTAGACCAGGCTGGCCTTAAACTATGCAGCACAAGTTGGCCACATACGATTTTCCTGCCTCAGCCTCCCAAGTGCTGGGACTACAGGCATGCACCACAATGCCTGGCTACAACATTTATTCTTAAAAGTGAACTTAAAATTATTTAATCCAGAGATCTACTCTAAGACTGAGTTTACAGTATTTACACTTTAGGATATCTTCTGTGGTTATGTATTTTCTGGAGGAATAATTGGCATCCCATTTTTACAACTTATTTTTTAGAATTAAACTATATGTGAAGTGATCAAAGGATCTGGGAATATGACTTATAACTGAGACCTCTGTATGCCCATACACATTTGCTACAATATACCTTCTTACGTGCAGGGCAACTAATAACTTGTATACACCCCTTATTAATAGTTTTTCATGACACTATTTGCAACATGAATTAAACCGAAATGACTACAGGTGTTGCAACCTTATATTGATATGAACTTCTCCACTATCCAATGCCATGTTTCATGAAAAGTAATGTGAAAATGAAGATTTCTCATGTTCTATACTTGTACTAATGCTCATGAGTTTGTACATTTTCTGATGTTATGGGCATCACACAATGCTATCTCCCATTATTTATGCAGGGTTTCTCTTTAATGAGAGTTCATGTATTTCAAAATCAGTGGAAGAACTGAAGGGTTTCCACATACATCTACTGTTTCCTATCTTGTGAGTTTTCATGTACTTGTTAATTGCAGAAAAACACCCACACTGCTCACGTATGTCCTGAGTCTCTTCACTATGAATTCTTTCGTGTATGTAATGATACCTGTGTGGACTGAAAGAGGTTTTATGCTGTTCGTAAGAAAAGGTTCTCCTCAGTCTGGTTCATGTCTAAGTCACTTCACACATTCCGTTATTGTACTCTCCCTTGTTACTGTGCATGATGCTTACTGAAATGGGTTTTTCTTTACTGTTTATATAGACTTTCACCCAAGTATAATTTATTTCATGTACTTGATAATATCCATCTGTACTAAATGTATTCACACATTGCTTACACACGTAACATTTCAAAAGTGTGTGTTCTTTCACATCTTCGGCAATGCCCATGTGAGCTGAAAGCCTCCCACATTGCTTTTATATATAAAAGTTTATTTCCCAGTGTGCTTTCATGTTTTAGACAAACAAAATGTGCTCTGAGTTTTCCCACACTGTTTACATAAATAGGATTTATTCCAGCATGTGAGTCCTTTCATGTTCTTGACAATCCAGCTGTGTGCTAAAGACTTTCCCACATTGCTTACACACGTTGTTTCTCTCCATTGTGAGTCTGTACATGCCGCTGACAATTTCTGCGTGATCTGAAAGCTTTCCCACATTGCTTACATATGTAGGGTTTCTCCCCAGTGTGAGTCCGCTCATGTTCTTGACAACAACTTTTTGTGATGAAAGCTTTCCCACAATGCCCACACACATAGGGTTTCTCCCCAGTGTGAGTCCGCTCGTGTTTTCGCCAACTATCTTGTCTGCTAAAAGCTTTCCCGCACTGGTTACATACATAGGGTTTCTCCCCAGTATGAACTCTTTCATGTATTCGACAACTATCAGGGGTGCTGAAAGCTTTCCCACACTGTTTACATACGTGGGGTTTCTCACCACTGTGAGCCCTTTCATGCATTCGCCACCTATCTTTTCTGCAAAAAGCTTTCCCACATTTGTTACATACATAAGGTTTCTCCCCAGTGTGAGTGCTTTCATGTATTTGACAACTATCAGGGTTGCTAAAAGCTTTCCCACATTTCTTACATACACAAGGTTTCTCCACAGTGTGATTTTTTTCATGTATCCGACAACTACCATATCTACTAAAGGCTTTTCCACACTGTGTACATACATACGGTTTCTCCCCAGTGTGAGTCCGTTCATGATTATGACAAACACCACTTGTGGTGAAAGCTTTGCCACATTGCTTACATGCATAAGGTTTCTCCCCAGTGTGAATTCTTTCATGAATTTGACAGTTACGATGTGTGCTGAAAGCTTTTCCGCACTGCTTGCATACATAAGGTTTCTCACCAGTGTGAGTCCGTACATGTGCTTCACAATCTCTGTGTCTGACAAAAGCTTTCCCACATTGCTTACATACATAGGGTTTCTCCCCAGTGTGAATTTTTTCATGTATTCGACAGTTATCGTGGGTACTGAAAGCTTTTCCACATTGCTTACAAATATAGGGTTTCTCCCCAGTGTGAGTACTTTCATGTCTTCGCCACGTCTTGTATATGCTGAAAGCTTTCCCACATTGCTTGCATGCATAGGGTTTTTCCCCAGTGTGACTTCTTTCATGTATTCGACAACTATCATGGGTGTTGAAAGCTTTCCCACATTGCTTACATACATAGGGTTTCTCCCCAGTGTGAGTCCGTTCATGTGACTGACAATCTCTGTGTCTGCTAAAAGCTTTCCCACAGTGCTTACACACATAGGGTTTCTCCCCAGTGTGAATCCGTACGTGTGTTTGACAATCTGTTTGCCTGTTAAAAGCTTTCCCACATTGCTTACATGCATAGGGCTTCTCCCCAGTATGAATCCGTACATGCATTTGCCAGTTTTCTTTTCTAGTAAAACCTTTCCCACATTGCTTACACACATAGGGTTTTTCCCCAGTGTGAGTCCGTTCATGTATTCGCCAACTTGCTTTCCTAGTGAAAGCCTTCCCGCACTGCTTGCATACATAGGGTTTCTCTCCAGTGTGAGTCCTTTCATGTACTTGACAATGACTGTGTTGGGTGAAAGCTTTCCCACATTGCTTGCATGCATATGGTTTCTCTCCAGTGTGAGTCCTTTCATGTTCTTGACAAGAACTTTTTGTCCTGAAGGCTTTCCCACACTGCTTACATACATAGGGCTTCTCTCCAGTGTGAGTCCTTTCATGAACTTGACATCTACTGTATGTGCTGAAAGTTTTTCCACATTGTTTACACACATAGGGTTTCTCCACAGTGTGAGTCCATTCATGTGTTTGACAAATACCACGTGTGCTGAAACCTTTTCCACAATGTTTACATACATAAGGTGTCTCACCACTGTGAGTCTTTTCATGTACTCGCCAACTGTCTTGTCTGCTGAAAGCTTTTCCACATTGCTTACATACATATGGTTTCTCCTTAGTGTGACTCCTTTCATGTCTTTGACAAACACTGTGTGTGCTGAAAGCTTTTCCACAGTGTCTACATGCATAGGGTTTATCCCCAATGTGAGTTCTTTTATGATTACCTAACGAATTGTTAGTGGAGGACTTTGCATAGTGTTTAGCAACATGGGCTTTTTCTCTAGAGTGAGATTCTTCATGTGTCTGAATATCATGGTGAGAATAAAAACCTTCTAACAAAGGTATACATACATACATATTCAGTTCACTGTGACTTCTTTCACTGATTTGAATATCACTGGGTGTAATGAATAATTTCACATCTTCCTTGTATACATCTGGCTTCTCTGCAATGGTCCATTCATCAGTGCAATCACAGTAGGATTTGGCAAACGGCATATGTTCATGGGGTTTTCCCCCAGGACTTGTCTGTGCATGTTTTGGAAAGAAATGGAGTTTTATGCAGGCTTTCCCACGTTTCTTACAGGCAGACAGCTTTTCCTGAAATCCTTGCTGCTCATATGGTTTGATGAGCTGATCTGCTGATGAATGACCAACCAGGAGCCTTCTAGAGGAAAGGCTTTCACCTGGTTTTATACCAACAACTTTCATGTGCATGTTCTTATCTGGCATCCAAGCAATCATTTCTCCATGTTGGTACCATAATTTATATTGACAGAATTGCTCTATCTCTTCACTTCTGTAAAAAGGGAAAGTAACAAAACAACCAATCACACTTCATAGTGTCTTTTCATAATGATTCACCATGTAGACATCTGCTTTTCAGTCTCCTAATATTTAATCACCAAGTTACTAGGCACTCTTACTGTGCACTCTGATGGCTTAGAAATAGCTGTACCCAAGCAGTAGGATTCATTTGGGAGTTTATAGTCAAAATGTTTGCAATACACAATACTTACTTTCATTTTGAGGAATTAGAACACATCTTGATGAAACATGTTCTGTGTATTGATATGTTTTGGAACCTTTCCCTCCACGAATCCATTCCCTCCTCTTCCACTGAGCCTCCTCACCCACTCCAAAGTATCTGCCTCTCTCTTTTCCACCATCTCTCCTATATTTACTCCTTAAATCATATTTTGGGATTCTCATGCAAAATACAAGTTATGATACTGAAATTTCTCTGACTTATTTAATCTAACATTATACATGCTAGATCCATCCATATTTTGGCAAGTGAAATCACTTCATTCTTTTGTGGATGAGTACTATTCCACTATGTATACATACTTGTTTTTCAGTGATGGAAATTGAACCAGAGTTTTAACACTGACATACATCCACAGGCTTTTCCATTTTTATTTTTAAACAGAATCTCATCAATCATTAAGTTGCCCAGGCTAAGCATGAATGCATGATCATCCCAGAGTTCTAGGGTTCCAAGCAAACCCCTTTATGCCCAGGCTACCCCATATTTCTGTAATCAACTCATCTGTGAATGGGCACTTAGGCTTTTTCCAGAACTTAGCTTTTCTAATTTGGGCTGCAAGAAAGGGGTATTTATGCATCACCCTAATATGATAGTTTAACTTTGTGGGGAATATATGCAGTGAAAGTACAGCTGGATAAAATGGAATTTCTATTTTCCTTTTTGTAGAGTCTCTATACACATTTGTATGGATGGTATACCATGTTGACAGTCCCACAAATAATATGGGGCTGTGCCTTCTAATATTTTGGAGTGTGAATGGGCTGTGTGCTTTGGAGGACTGCTTGAAAATAACTATGATCAAGACAGTGGCATTCACTTGGATTTTCAATACACCCACAACCTTAGCAATTTTTCAAATAATGAATGTGTAGCACACTGAAGTACAGATAGTATTACTGATATAATTTATTTGCTATGACAGTTGTCTTTTAAAAACACATGTGTATATAATTATAACTCACCTCTCAGTGCATATACAAAATTTATTTTATATACTACTGTTCTCAATGCCTAATTTCAAAAGAAAGGATTGTGCTTATACTGTTTGAACCATATTTCATGCCTACAGCTTATAATCTGAGCAACTACATGAAGATAACAATACACTATGTATTAATCACTGTTAATCCCCTATTATCTTGTTTTGAAATTTTGTATCATCATTTTTGTTTTCTCTCTTTAAAATAAAAAAAATTAAAAATGCAATTTCCTTTAACGTATCTATAAATCTGAGCATTGAATATAATTTGTACTTTTTAAATTTTATTTTACTCTGTGGTTGAGACTGGCATTGAAAAGACTATGTGTACCAGGCTGGTCTGAAACTTTTGGCAATTTTACTGCCTCAGCCTCCAGAGTGTGGGGATTACAGGCAGGTACCACCACACCTGGATATTCTTTTACATTAGCTCAAAGGTATCACTTTCGGCATAATATCAGTATCCCCTACATTTCAGATATTGGAATATTTTAAATATTGAATTGTCAGATTAGAGATGTTGAACATGTGTAATTACTTAGAGAAATTTTGTGAGATTAAAGAAATTTGAACACGGTTTTGTTTGTGTACTTTGCTTAGCTTTACTATTCTAACATTTGAGGAACATTCTTCTCATGCGTGCAGATTACCTTAGACCTTTCTTGCAATTTCTGTACTCATCTTCAATTTGCTGGTCATCTGAGATTCTTCCTAATTTATAGAAAGAGAAATAAAATGATGACTTACTACATCTATGAAAATCAGTAGATTCCAGTTAGATACAAGGTAAATTGTGATCATGCCTAGAACATGAATCCTAACATTTCCCTTTTCTTTGTCTTTCCATTTTTTTGAGACAGAGTGTTACTACATAGTGCAGGCTGACCTTCACCCTACTTATGTAGCCCAGGCTAGCCTTGAACTCATAGTTATCCTCCTGCTTCGGCCTACTGAGTGCAGGGTCCAATTTCTCATGAAGGAAACTGCACTGATGAACACCAACCAATGCTCTCTGACTACATAAATGAAAAACTTATATCTTCCTTACCTACGGCAGCCAGGTTCCTAAAGGTTTCCCACATCACATCTCTGTAGAGCTTCTTCTGGGATGGATCCAGCAAAGCCCACTCCTCCCTGGTGAAGTTCACAGCCACATCCTCGAAGGTCACGGCCTCCTACATCACCAGAAATGTATTTCCGGGAAGAACAGTGAGATTTACAACAGGAAACATCCCAACTCTACTCATAAGAAGCTCATATGAGGTTGAGTTTTCCAAATGTTTACTTCATGTCTTGGTCATCAAACACTTATTCTCCATCCATATACACTCCTCATACAGGAAGTTTGATGTTACATTGGAATTCAGTGATAGAGCAACAACACAATGGGAATTCTGCTTCTCCTGTTGGTTAAACCCAGATTTACTGGTAGAAAGTCACTAAAGCATGGGTCACAGAAGGAGCCTACAAGTCAGAATCCAAGAGAAAAAAGGAGAAAAACATCTGATGAATTACTCTGAGGGATCAAAGAAAATATCTTTTCTTTCCTCAACTTATTATCTACGGAACTGATCCCTTTCTTCTCTGATACTATTTAGACAGCATTTTGAAACTTCAACCTGCTTTCATAGACACACTAAGCAAAATTTATGAATGATAATATGGAAAGCTGATGATGACAACTACTTTCTGTTGGAAAATGTCTAAGAACTGTGAAATTAGATTAAAGAAGCCATATTATCCTGTGGCTCAGTGTCCTGAAAGGGGCATAAGGGAGAGAAATGGAAGGATGCATATGATGAAAATATATATGAAATGTACTGATCACCAATACTGTGCAAACTTAAAAAGCAATAATACTGAAAGGAAAAGCTGAACAAAAAGTCTTTTCACTTCCAAAAACCGCTTCAAGTGTGACAGTTTCTTTAAGGAAGAGAAAAAGTTTCAAAGTCCACTCTGTAGGGCAATGTTCTGTTACTAAAGAAAAAAACAAGTAGACTGCAGGGAAGGAAGAGTCTTCAGTGGGCTCACATGTAAATAGAACGTCTATTTGATGTTAAGTGAATGTTAAGTAAAGTCTTTGTTACTTTTTTCTTGCTCCTGAGAAAATATAGCCAACACCCAAAATTAAAGGAAAAGAGGTTAATTTGGCGACAGTTTGTAGAGTTTCTGGTGCATGCTGGGCTGGCTTCAGGCAAGAGGGCAGGGCAGAGAGGCATTGCAGAGGAGAAACAGCCCGTGGCAGGCACCAAGCAGCCAAAGCAGCAAGCAGCAACAGCATCTCTTTCTGCCCCTTATATTTTATCTGGGCTAGTAGCATTCACACCCTTAATATTAGCATCTCACTGACAATCAGGTCCCAGCATCATATTGTAGATCTTTCCATGTCTAAAAAGCTCTACCTATGAGCACATAAGATTTTGGTGGGACATCTAGAAGAAGCCATGAAAGAATACTGATTCATGATAGAGCTCTTATGTCACAAATCACAGTCTATTTAAGGCAGGGAGAAACAGATGTTTTAATCTTCATATGCCTTGTATAAGAATTAAATTATGTCTGGGTTGGGGGTTTAGTTCAGTGGCACAGCGCCTGCCTGGCAAGCGCAAAGTCGTGAGTTTGATTCCCGGTACTGGAAAAAAAAAAAGAATTAAATTATGTCTGAAAAGGGAAACATAATCTTGAACACTTTAAGAAATCACAGTGAAATATCTTTTGAAAATGAAAAAGTGTTTGCCCAGAAGAAAATCATGAACCTATCAGAATTCGAGGGACAAATACAAACCTACATAAATCCTGGGAGGTAAAGGAGTCAAGAAATGAAAAAAAATATGCAGTGTATGCACAAAGAATTTCCAAACCAAGAAAAAAGGAAAATGTAAGAAATAAGAGTAAAACATATAAACATAAAGAGAAAACACCAAATAGAAAACAAGGTACCTGACCTTGTCTTAGGAAATAGACAAAGTAAGTGGAATTTTAGAAAGATGCCCATAGTAGGTACACTTGTGAATAAATGAAAGGTCACATGGCACACTCCAGAGCCATATTCTCTACTATGGTACATTCCAAAATGTACACACTAGTGACTTCATATGAATTCAGAAAATACGTGTTTTAGTTTTTGGAGACAAATGTCATTTCTCAGCTATGAACAAGTAAATCTGCAACAACTTCAACCATCTGGGCCCTAGGCTTGAGAAGAAACAACTCTGCCCTGACACAAATGTCAGCCTGTGTGAAACACAGTGAGACAAAGAAACCACATAGCATACTTTTCCATACAATTTCTGTAGGACAAATTGAATGTTTCAAAGTGGCAAATGTCAAAGAACATTGCATAGTGACAAGTATACAGACAGTAAATTCCTAAGCAGCAGCACAGGAAACAGGACAGTGTTACCCATGGGGAAGACAAGGACGAGCCCAGTAGGGTTTCCCTGGATGCTCTTGTCCCTGCCCAAGGCTCAGCTGTAAAACCTTCTGAGGCTCCCCATGATATTTATGTGGTTATGATTGTTAAATCTCGCCAAAGCTTTTCTGAGAATAAATTTAATTGCAAAATATATAGTGTAGTTCAGAACATCAGAGAGGGACAAGGCGGTCATTCGAGCTAATTAACGAATGCACCTCCTCCTTGTGCTGCAATATCCTACGCATCCTTAAGAAGTGGCCTTCCTCGTCACCCTTGTGAAACAGGGTAAAGGAAACCATGTGGAATATTACTCACACCCCTGAGGACTGCGGTGTGCCGAAAGAGTGCAGAACGAGCCTGGCCTGACAGGTTACCAAGGCGAGCAGGGATCAGAGTGACGCTCACTCTGCTCGCAGTGTGGGGCAAAGTATCTATCGGGTCCTGAACACCTAGGCTTCTGGTTACTTCGTCCTCAACCGCGACACAAAAGGAATGAGTGCTGAGGGTCAGATGTTGTCACTAAGAATCGAATGGTGACTTGTGCACTTCCATCTCCAGCTCACCCGGAAAGGGAGAGAAGGATTGCTTCTTCCTCAACAGTGAAAAGCACGCTGACTTAACATCCAATCCCTTGCAGACCAATTGCAGTACAAAGAGCTGGACAGACAGAAGTGTAAGTTGCTCTGCAGAAAGTCAGGGACGGAACAAGGATAGGAATGTGTCACATGTTCTAATGAACAATGTTAGGAGGACTCTCCTTGGCCAGGTGTTCGCTGTCCTAAACTTTGGTGAGTTTTTCCTCTGCCAGTTCTGCCAGGTTCTCAGTGAGAATCAGAGAAAAACTGTTGCATACGTCAGATAGGGTTCGGCAGAACAAAGCACCTTTGAAAATTCTCATGTTTAAAGAGCATGAATCAAGTGTGAGCTGCCCACCTTTCCCCCGAGCATCAGAGCTTCTCTCATTCCCGTTGAGTAGTCATGGCCTGCTCTGTGCCTAATAACTGACATCTGTTTTGTTGTTGTTTTGTTTTTTAAACCAAGAATTAAACTCAGGACCTTGCGCTTGCCAGGCAGGGACTTGTGCAGCTGAGCTACATCCCTGGACCCCATCTGTTTGTTTTAAAAAACTACTTCTTTAAGCCCACAACTCAACTGACCCTAAGAGTCATTTCTGTAATAAATACTAAGCACCTTACAAGCTTAGAAGTGCCTCTCTTTTTTAAATGGTATAATTTTCATCTGTTTGAAGGTGTTTGCACCTTCAGAGTGCTGAAATGCATTACTCACTTTAAATTACCAATTTGAACAAGCCAGGCATGGTGGCGCACACCTGTAAGCCCAGCAGTCAGGAAGCTGAGGCAGGAGGATCATTGTGAGTTCAAGACCAGCCTGGGCTACAAAGTGAGCTCAAGGCCAGCCTGAACTGCATGGTGAGACTCTGTCTCAAAAAGACTAAATAAATAAGTAAATAAGTAAGTTACCCATTTGAAGCAGTGATAAAGGACACTGGTGGCATCTAAAGTGTACACGAGGGACATGTTCTTGCGGGCATTCTCAGTGGCCAGTCACAGCACAGGAGCGAGGAGAGCACACACTGAATACCACACTGTATGGATTATGTGCCAAGAGCTCCTAAGTACCTTTAATTCTGTGAAAGAGGGAATGAGAAACTAAAGAAGAAACCAAAGAAAAGAGGAAGTTGGGAGGTAGGGTGCAAAGTACAAAGGACAGATGGATGGAAGGGAAAATATGGAGCCCTCGCATCACTACTAACAGGTCTAGACAAAAGTCCTCTGAGGGAAGAGCTCTGTGGGTGAGGCGTTTTCATGCTGCTCTGAGCCTTGTTCCTGAGGGCACTGGGACTACAGTACGCAGGGATGTTCCAGGAACTTTTCTTATTTCAAAAACTGAGAGAGAAGTAAATGGCAAAGGAAGAGCTGAAGGTCATTTACGACCACAGGAAGGTAAACTGCACCTGAGAAAGGACATCTGCCGTCCCTCAGGGAGCGGACCTTCCGATGGCAGCCACAGCAGACACAACGACAACTCAATTACCGACGAGGTACGACACGGTGAGGAAATGTCTTCTCACTGAAGTTTAACATTAACTGCAAAATGTGGCAGAGACAATTCTGAGTTTTATTTGGTCTCACACAACACAAGGTGCAAAAGTACTATTGTCACTAACATTCTATAACGGAAGAGATACGTGCGAGTTTTGTTCTTGGCACTGAGACATAATTTTGGGTTACAGAGGTTTCAGCCAATAGTTGGCCGGCTCCAAGTAAGGGTGGCATTGCACACAGGAAGCTTGGCATGCCATGGCAGTGGGAAGCAATTATTATACCCTTTGAAGCCAAACCCACAACTTTTCCTACCAGGAAACTTTTCCTACCAGGCTTTACCCCCTAAATCACACCCAGCTATAAACCTATGAAAGGACTCACCCAGCTCACTCCCATGATCCAGTCAAAACCCCCCAAAACCCCACCTAAGAGTGCATGACGTTTGGCAGAATATCTAGATTTAAACAAAAACACTTTCCCAGGACAGAGCCCCAAGATAGTCACAGTGACACGGGCAACGGCACACAACGTAACACGGGGCAGGAAAAGGCGCACACAGTGAGCTGACCCCGTACCCAGGAAGAAGGGCTGAGTGGGGCAAGTCTGAGGCACATGTGATTAGCTGGGTCACTCGCGTGACACAGCAGTGGAGGCAGAGCAGGCAGAGGAGCTGGGATTATCACACAACGTTAAC